AACATAAATGGATGAACGTGAAGATTATATAAACTTCCCTCGGGTATAAAGGCGGATATCACGGCGGCTATTGTAGTCTGTAGGGAATGGGAAAAGGAAACCTAAGTAGAAGCAGATACGTTACAATATAAATATTATAAATGTATAATAATCCTCGCGTATATACATAGATGGTGTACTCATTAGTGTTACTGTCTGGTAGGACAGGGAAGTGAATACGCCTCATTTAGGTTTGATAGGGTATAGAAGTTGGCAGTGCCATCGGAAGTCCTCGTCTGGTATCTATGAAAAATACCCGTCGCTCCGATCTCTATACCGTCGTATCTAGAATGCGTATTCATCAACTTATTTTGCTGTAAATCACAAATTTTGATTAAATCTATTGATTTTAATGTAAATGAATATATTTTACTGTGAATCACTTAATTTTCGCGAAAATTTGTTTGAATAAGTATTCGTGAGATATCTTCATTCGCTAAAATATATGTATAAACCTTGTGAAATTCTAGATGTGTTCTGTACCAGGCTGATGTGGATTAGACAGGACGGATTGAGGGGCGGGGGAGGGGGCTGTCACAAAGATTTACTCCCAAATGTTACATGTATGTTCAAACATGTACATCATGGTGGGGACGGGCTTAGTAAGGGGACGGAGGAGGGACCCGCCTTAGTCAGGAATTAGATCTCAGATCTAATGTTGTTACACTGCGGAACCTCTCTAATTGTGACACTGGTATTCCGGAAGTACGTCAACAGAAGCTGATTTTATTCAAATCCTCACAGCTCAACCTTTGTCACGAGCCCGTATACCCGCTCTGAGGGAATGGAGAGTCTAAGCACAAGGATTAATCGAATAACAGTAACTTAACTTCATTTGTGAATTCTTCTGTTACTGATATTACGTAACAGAGAAATAATCGTTCTAACTATTCTAGATCCTTCTTCGACTCTCGTCGGAGAGATCAGAGAGGGTTTGCGGCGTCTTCGACTTTAGTTTCTATCACTTATTGAGCCTCAGCGTCATTACATGTATTAACCACTAAAATTGGTATCCTTGTATCTTCTCTTTATGTCCGAAAAAAAATTCATTAAATGTCGTTTCAGAATGACGTGCCCTGTACGTGTCCGTGTCCGCGGGTCAAAACCTGCCAGACCGGAACTGCCCGATGTAAAATTTACATTGATAAAAAATGTGTCTTTTAAAACAGCATACGTAGATTGTGCTCTTTCACCCAAATAGGAACAAACTATTTCCTAGTTAGATGTGTTGCCTAATGATGTGAAGATTCATATGATCGAAGATTGGTCAATACTGTGCAACTAAATAAGGTTTTTTTAGCAATTCAATGAAACCCCATATTGAATAGGTTGCCACATATACTAAATCTGACTGTATTTTGTAGCTTTTATTTAAATCATGACTGTACATAATATCTTTAATGTGTATCAGAGGGAGACTTTCATATTAGTTTATGATAAATAGATCTGTTATCGTTGTGAGCGTACAAGTACAATCAGGTCAGCACCTGTCGACTTTCGGATTCCATCCGATATCTCTTATTCCTTTGGATGATAACAATGGTTTTCGTCTGTTGGGGTAAATGAAGCTACTGTTGACCGTTTCTTATAAAATGGACTAATGTTGAAGAAAAACTATTTTGTGCCAAGAATGCTTACATTAAGGGGTTGATTATGATACGAGTTATGTAAATGAAATAAACAACTTTGTTTTTCAATCAACTCGTGGCCAATTCGACTAAAATAGGCCTTATTATACAGCGGTTACCTAGCACAAAAATGGATAACTGCGTTTATAAATGTTTTTTTGTGTACATGTTAGTGCTAGGTTTGTCCATATCACTAAAAGTATAAATGTACTTGGTTTTTTTTGTATGGAAATATGAACCGGAAACCGTTGCAAGAGTGGTGCGTAGTCATTTTTGAACCGGAAGTCGTTGCACGCGTGGTACGGAGTGGTTCTATATGTAGTGCCAACATTTAAGTCTGTTGTGCTTCAATAGGCTAAATAAAAAGCACGCTTATTTCCTATATATTACATTACTGTAATGACAGTGTACGCTAGAAAGGTTCATAAACTGTTCATAAAGCGGCCTCCTACAAGCAACGAGAGTGTCGCGAGGCGTCCTTGTTCGACACACGTCACGTCTACACGATAGTCGTTAGCGGGACCCTTCCTCGGGGAGTTTACAGAATATATATACAAATGCGCAATTACAATCGGATCGATCGCTAATTTCCTCGCAATAAGCTCTTGTCTGTTCTGAATAGCCCTGATTACTGCCACCATTTCCTTCTTTAAGTCTCCAATCTCTGCTCGCATTACATCATCTCGTGCTCGCGTGATATTTTGATTCTTTATATCATCTGGAATAGATAAGCACACATCAACTATCGGAAATGTACATGCAGAGTGTTGATGGAGACATTTAAGTATTTCTCAATCTGTTTTTCTACAAACACAATTTAGATATATTTAGAGCTATAAATACCAATAAAATCTGATGTTTTATACATGCATATTGTTTGAAGAAACATCAGTTATGAAAAAAATCTTCAGGGAAATATGATTTCATATCTCCCTTTCTATATTATTTACCAATAATCGCTGATCACCTTTCCCTACTGTAGATTTAGGAAATAACTTAACCTGCTGGCCTGTTGTATGATGTATGTGTCAACCTGTGTGCCCCTCCCCTTTAGTATCGGGTCCAATGCAGGTTTAGGAAAATACTTAACCCTCTGGCCTGTTGTAGCCCACTTCATGTTATAGGGGGCAACTTTTATTAAATACCACAGTGTAAATATGTTTACGACTATTCTGTGTTACCCTGGTAAAATATGTATTGTTCATGTACTGATGCAATGTTTTATCAAATAAATATATCTATATATGTATCGGGGAAGTAAGGTATATATTGTAGGTCCTCTGATGGGGACACCAAGTATATACAACAATCATTTGCTTTCCCCCTTTCAACTGCTCTCTTCGCTGTTCTCTCTTCCCTACTGTGTCTATTTGGCGGTGTGTTCGTCGGCTCCTCTAGTTAACCCGCTGTCAGAGTTGTGTGCCCCTGATTACACTGTCCAGGAATTGGAATTTCATTGTGGTGTCGGTTTAAGTGGCTGTTGAATGGCCCCCATCAGTGGACACTGACGTCATATAACCTTAGCTGTTGAAAAGGTTGTTACAAAGAAGTAAAACCCCCATAGGAAGACGATTAAATCACCTGAGGACGTGTGTGCTGTGTGATGTATCCTACGCTGGTTGCTTGTAATTACAAGGCTTTGAACGCGGGACACACTTAAACTGGTTCGGGCGATATGTCTTTTACAGTCTAGTCGTATACCACACAGATAAAGCTCCGCGTGTAGTTCTATGGAAACGGCACTAATTTTCTTGCAAGGAGAAGCGACGTTCTTATGTTTTAATTTCTTTATCTATCGACGCATCACAATGTTTACTGGTACGCTAAACAAAAACAAAAAATCTTAGTGCGCCAGTCCGGAAACTTGCCTCATCTTCGCAACAAAAGAAAATGGCGTCAAACCGGGAGATGACATTACTGTCTATGACCTTGATCAACGATTTCTGAAAAAGCCACTTATGTTGCTTAACATTTCTGTACCTGTACAGTCACCTTCAATCTCTCCAATGGCCTTTTATGTAACTCTTCATCTCCATTATCTGAAATTGTACTGTCAAAACTCTTATTAACCTCCAATTTAAAAAAGGACAGTTTCGGCGAGGCTCCAATTTCACAAAGGGTGTCTGCTGTAACTCTACAGTCGACAAAATATGTTCGCTCGGTAAGAGTCGCCATCTTTGTCTTTTCTTACCCATGGCTTTTAATTAATAACACAAGGAAGGCTCATACTCCGTGTAGTGGATACACTTATTCATTTGGGGTGTTCGGGTGAGTTAAACAGTTTTCTCAAATGCTATACAATTTCTGCAATTCGTGGATTTCCGTTAAGACCGGATTAGTTCAGTAATTGTGTACCACCATCGATCCCGTTCATGCTATAATCTGTTGCATTGTTCCTTTTACGACATATGCCATCACCCACGCCGCAAATCAAGGGCCAGTTTATGGCAGAATCTCTCCCACATCAGCTCGTACCAAAGTTATCTGGTATTGTAGATTTGCTCGAAAGACCTCGCGGAAATTTTACAGCAAATTCTATAATCGTAATGAACTACGCCCATTTATTATTGATACTGCCAGCATGTAACCGAGGTGACTTAGGAAAACACGGTGCCCTACATAACACGGACCAGCACATAGAGTGCCTCTCTGCTAAACCCACTGTTTTAATTACAACTGATTGCTGGCAAAATTAAGATTTACACATAAAAAGCTCCCTGATTGTCGCTCAAAAATCAATGTATCTGCCACCTAAAATAAATATTAGTAAGAGACACGCTTATTTAAAATCAAGTCAAAAAGAGTAATCAACATGCTTTGCACATGCGATGTTAGTTCTCCAGACACCTTGCATATTAATAATTAAACTACTTCCCTTTATTGAATGGATTATTCGTCATTGCTTCCCTTATTTCGATATAACTGCTGTAAAAAATACGATACATATGTAGCATGTCTCAATGATTACTATTTTCTGGAAATCTCACTTATTTTGAATTTTAAGGAGAATTCCTCTCGCATTGTGACACTGTTATTACTACTATAGACGAAATAATCTGTTATTTTGTTTTAAATTTCTATATTGAGAACTGACTAGTATGTATGATCTTGTTCAGAACTACGTTTCTTAAAGTTCGAATAACCATCACATTAATTTATGAATTGTAATCCATAATTCAGTATTTGTCCGTTATGTTTCAAATCCCGTTATCTCGATGTGTAACAGGTCCAGATCACCATCTTGTGTATGTTTTAATCCCGTTATCTCGATGTGTTACAGGTCCAGATACCATCTTGTGCATGCTTTAATCCCGTTATCTCGTTGTGTTACAGGTCCAGATCACCACCTTGTGTATCTCGATCAGCTTGAGTGCTACTGTGGCCCTCCTGTGTCTGTTTACCCCCAAAATGTACATCATCGTGTTCCAGCCGGGGAAGAACGTACGCCGCCTGACTATGAACTCTGCCAGCTATAACAAGAAGCCCCAGACCACGACAAGTTCCATTCTCACCAGCAACAATCACGGTATGTGAGCCGACACTTTTATTTCCATGTAGTGATACGTTTCTGGAATGATTTCAGGGTCAATAAATGCATTTATCAGTTAGAAATATATTGCCTATTCAAAATGTTTGCCGTTACAAATTGGCGGGCGACATGAAATATTCTTAGTTCGAATTGTTCGATAAGTTCAGTTATTAGCGAATTCAAACTTGTCAACAATTCAAAACGATTCAAAACAATTCAAAACCATCAGAGTTAAGGTGGCTCCACACATCGTCATTAGCGGCCATTTTCGTGACGCACTTTCGGAAAACGTACAGCTCGGACTTAATTATCTTGATCGAAATGTGCATGTACACCGTGTCGTCATTTCCGTATTGCGTATCGGGCATTCAATATCGTAGAACTAGTGCAAATTATGGGCTACATTCGCGTATCCCGGTTGACACGGTACGTGTGGCGCAGAAACTTTCCACGATAAACGAACACACTTGGACCGTTCTATTAGCAGAGCTTAAAATCCACAGTTTTGGAGAATAAAAACAATGCATCAAGAATATTATGCCCTTCTCTCACGCGTCCACTAAATTACAAGAAATAACGCTAATTGGCAATAGTCAGCAATTTAGTTTCGGTCAGGTAAGTCTGAACCCCTCAATCTACACGTACCAAATTCAAACCGATCGGACCACTGTTGTTCGTTTATTAAATAAGGTCGGACCTAGTAATCTGATGCTGCTTTCANACACGAGTTCATAAGCTCGAGGTCGTTACGATTTTCGCTGTTGAGGGAGTTTCGCTCTGTCGATTAAATCGTGTTTACAAATGTAGTCTACTTACTCTGTGAAAATAATGTTTTGTAAAATATCGAGATACCTATGAAATGCATGTGTGAGTGCACGTGAGAACGGCATACCATGCGATAGCCTCTGGTCACATATGTACCTAACATGTAATTATAAATTTATACCGTGAGTTAGCGGACTGTGGAATGATGTCCAAAGTGTACATGACTGAGGGTTATTTGGTTCCATTAAAGAACAATAAGGAAGATAACTCTCACCCGTATCAAAGTGATTGTAAAATGAAAAATTAATTAATTATAAAGCCATTGTGTATATTTTGTTCAATTTCCCACTCTATATGTATAGATCTTTGTGTCCTGTTTGCTTTTAGCTTGTAGATAATCACTTTTATCCGTACAAATTCAACAAAAAACACTTTGTGTAACATGTGTTACATATTTTGCGATAAATAAAATATTTGAAGGGTTAATTAGAAATGCTTACAAAAAAACGGAAAATATTAAAATTGACGAAATTTCAATTTTTTGGATTTTTTTCCAAAAAAGTCCCCAAACTATCGGAATGTTCAGATTTTCATAAAATTAACTCTACATAGTTGCATAACCATTATATGAAATTGTTAACGAATTTTGCTGGTTAAGCCGTATTTTATATACAGGAACGTCAAAGGGGAAATAACTCTTGCTATTAATTCCTCCGTCAACATCTACACGCACTATAGATTAAACAGTTTTAAACGGTCCTTTCAGCACTGGTTCCACGTGTTTAGTCGGATGTTAAGGAGTACATGATAATTGAAGTATTACCAATAGCCAGATGTACGTATTGGTGTCAGTTTGAAATGTGTAAGCACGGGGATCATAGATTAATACCGACTTCACGTTGTTTTACAATTGTTCTGCTCTCCAGATTAGAAATTGCATATGTATATTACTACGATTCTGTGCATAAAACAAAGAAATACTCATATAGTAACTGATGTAAAAACGTATTGGCGAACATTCAAAACAACCATATCTTGTACAAAAATGCTATATTATATAATATTATAATATTATACAGGTATTGACAATAAATCTAAACAATCATGTACTAATCTATAACGCTATACATAATATACTTAAATATTTTATAGATATCGAAAATAATTCAAAACAATTATGCATTAAACTATAATTATATTCATGATATAAATAAATACGAACATATTCTATGGATATCGACAACAACTCAAAGCAATAATGTATTAAACTATAACTCTATACATAATATATTAAAACAATGTTATCATATTGGAAACAACTAAAAACCACAATTTGTGATGACGTAGCTATTTAAACATGAACAGGGGAACTTCATTTACAAAGCCCCGTTAAATTAATGATACATCATGTTCAAACTTAAATCAGTGTAATATTCTGAATTATTAAGATCAAAAATAAATATTCATGGCCAGGGGTTCAAAGTGGTCACCCTTTGGCAATATATATTCGTATGTACTAGTATTTCTATGCCTATTAAAAATGGAACATTTTAATTAGCGTATAATTAAGTAAACTTCAACTGATCCAGAGATGGTGGTTCAGTGATACTAATTCAAACTGGCCTTAACGACGTGTAATACACTGCACCGTGTGCACTTGAATAATTTAAGTCAAAGACAATAATTTTACTAAACAATTAGTTTGAGATGCACTTTACACCAGGATAATTGTTACGGTACAATAGCACTCTCATTTCACTCGGTCGCTAATGATGCATCCTCGATATCCAGGGTTTACGCTCACTTTCGCTCTCTACACCCCTATAATATGTCATAGCAAAATTGAAGACACGAAGTTAGCTGTTTGATTGGTCGCAGGTAAAAGAAAACATGAACAATCGCTAGGCTGATACCTGTCTTTTGGGGATTACAAAGGAGAGACGCCCGACTTCAAAGCCTGTCAATTTTTACCGTTACGTGACCGCGAGATTCTTTTGATGTATAGCAATGGATCAAACTAGTCTTCTTGTCCTATCAACAAGGTGGCGCACACCGAGCCTTCAATTTTGCTGACATATGCCAGGGGAGCAGAGAGCGAAAGTGAGCGTAACCCCTGGATATCGAGGATGAAGTGAGCGTAACTCCTGGATATCGAGGATGATGTGAGCGTAACCCCTTGATATCGAGGATGCTTATGATGAACAGGACATCACCAGTTAAACTCAATGAAACAAAGAAGCACTAATTATTTTATTTTTTATTTTGTTTTTTGCTTTTGTTTTGCTATCGATTGTTGATCTTAGTTATAAATTGAGCTTAACAGCTGCACAAGAACCAATAAATTGGCCATTATTGATTTCTTGTTTCAAACACCAAGGCTGAACAAAATCCAACCATTGTTTTATCTCGTCACTTTCACATCATCTCTGAAAGGTTAAACCCACATCACGACGACGTCTTAAAACAAGGTTACAATAAAGCGCATTATCAGCTTTGATCAGACCAGCACAATGTATCAAATCTTGGCTAAAAACAAAATAGGAGGAGGATTAGGAATTTAATTATGTGTAATGCCCAATCAAGGCCGTTCAGTTTCATCACAAGGACAGTGTTAGCTACATACATTGAACACTCTTTCATGACGAAATGACGAAATCTACCATGTTTGACCTATTATCATGCAACGTACATAAGCCATGTATTGTGTTTGAGTGTTATAATATGTATGGAGGTTAGGGGAAATTAGAAAGACATTCATCCACCGTAACAAATTCAATAAGACGAGTTCGACTGGATTTTCTGTAATATCTAGATATTTTGTCTTTGAGATCTGCTATGCCATCCAACTGTGTGAACAACTAGTATTGTGAAGGAAGTTGATGATGCTGAGTAGGAATACTCCCGATGGCGTCATCCCCTGGTAATCCTTGACATCCAGGGGTTACGCTCACTTTCGCTCTCTGCACCCCTGGAATATGCCATAGCAAAATTGAAGGCACGAAGATAGCTGTTTGATTGGTCGCAGGTAAAAAAAAACCTGACCAATTGCTAGGCTGATACATATCCTTTTAAGATTACAAAGGAGAGACGCCCGACTTCAAAGCCTGTCAATTTTTACCGTTACGTGACCGCGAGATTCTTTTGATGTACCTCAAAGGATCGAAGTAGTCTTCTTGTCCTATTAACAAGGTGGCGCACACCGAGCCTTCAATTTTGCTATGACATATTCCAGGGGTGCAGAGAGCGAAAGTGAGCGTAACCCCTGGAATTGTGTGTGGGTTAATCTTGCTGTTTTGATTCACATCCCTCGATTTATGTTCCTATTTTTAGTGCATATTTTGTTTTCGTGATTTGAAACTGTTATATTTCGATTTTGTGTATGATGCAGTTTGATTAAGTTTTGGAATATTATATCTATTGCCAATCTTATACATACCTTTTAGAGGCCATTGTATTGATTTGTGAAAAGATGCTGTATTGTATTTTGTCTATCAACATTACTTTCCTAGCTATTAACCCCTATGCTCATTCACACATTGACATCAATCACATGTGTGTTTTGAAAAAATATCGCTAGAATTTTCTTGATGAGTTTTAAGCTCACTTATTGTCGAACATAATTTAAAGTTTTTGACTTCTCCACATGGAATACTTATTGATAATGTAGATATTAATATCCTGTCAATAGATTGAAGCTTGTTTCGTTAGAAATCACACTAGTTGTTAGCAAGAAAGACACACCACAGCGTCAACACGCAAGGACATTATACACCACAGCGTCAACACACAGGAACATGCTATACCACAACGTCAATTCACAAGGACATAATATACCACAACGTCAACACACAATGACAGATAAAACACAGAGTCAACACACAAATACATAATATAACACTGCGTCAACTCACAAAGACATAATGTAACACAACACACAAGGACATAATATACCACAACGTCAACACACAAGGACATAATATACCACAACGTCAACACACAAGGACATAATATACCACAACGTCAACACACAAGGACATAATATACCACAACGTCAACACACAAGGACATAATATACCACAACGTCAACACACAAGGACATAATATACCACAACGTCAACACACAAGGACATAATATACCACAACGTCAACACACAAGGACATAATATACCACAACGTCAACACACAAGGACATAATATACCACAACGTCAACACACAAGGACATAATATACCACAACGTCAACACACAAGGACATAATATACCACAACGTCAACACACAAGGACATAATATACCACAACGTCAACACACAAGGACATAATATACCACAACGTCAACACACAAAACATTATACACCACAACATTCAAGGAAAAAGACATGATATACCACAACATTAACACAAGATCGACATACAAAACCATAACATACCACAGCGTCAATTCATCAGGAACAATACACCATATAAAATGTAACACAGCTTCAGGTCACAAGGACACTATGTATCGCAACGTCAGCTCACAAGTACATAATATACCACAGTGTCAACTCACGCGACAAAATCCGAACCTCTAAAGTAAATATAAAATATAGTCATGTTCTAAAGAAAGAGGGGTGTTTCCGCAATGAATTTGTCATAATTCCTGAATACTGAATTTAACAGAATGACACTATTTTGTTTTTCAGATGCGTTTTCAGAGAGGATTAAGCTGAGCGTTAACTACGACCAAAGATTTGGGGTCACGACCACGGCGGAGAAGGATGACAAAGAAAAGGACACGCCCGCTTCGTCTCTGTAAACAAACCGATGATTTGACCAGTTACAGCAAGACTATTCCTCTTTATAGCTTGTCGCATTTCGATCTATAGCTTTACACCTATATCGTAATAATCCTGTTTGGGCCTTCGCTATACACATGTTTCTAGTCACTATCATTTGTCTACAAAATGTCAATGCACAACAAAATGCAATTACACGTGTTGTGGTATTTGGTTCAATTAATGTTGTTGAAAATGATTTTGCAAAAGACACGAATCTGTTTTATTATTTCCTAGTTTTCAATCCAGACATCAAAATATTATATATATTTCGTTCTGATATGGAAAACCTTTATTCTTCATTTTGTTTTGGACGAAAGTTTTTTCTTTATGAAACATTATCAAAATTTCAGATTTGAAAAAAGTAACATTAATTATATGAATTCAGGTACAATGAAGGACATTGATTACATCATGCATTATTTTTATGATGTCGAAGTAAAACACACACAAGAATACATCGACAATTTCCATTCCTGTAAGACGTTTATTTTGTTTCAGACAAACCGATTGTCCCTAGTATGTCGCACAAACCCCCACAATGCCAACAGAGTAGAATAAATATAGTTTGCATGTTGAATGTATATAGTATATGGTATGTTAAAGTATTGGGCAGAATTGTGTTACAATGTATGAAATTTTCATTATAAATTATGTTTTATAGTTGTGTATATAATTCATTTAAGATGTCATTAAGTATATGAAAATGTAATTTGTTATAGACTCGTGTAGATAATAACGTAACATGATATATAGTCGTGTATATAACACTATATCATTCTGTCGTGTATTAATGATATAACACGTTATATTGTCGTGTATGTATTTATATAATATGTTAAATAGTTATATAAAAATGATGTGTTGCTATCGTCGTGTATATGATATAACATGTTATGTAGTCATGTTTATAATTATGTAAACTGTTATAAAGTTGTTCTATAACAATATCATACATAACATAGTCGTGTATATTATTATATAACGTGTTTCATAATCGTGTATGTAAAAATGTACATGCAACATGTTACATGCAGTCGCTGTGTGTATATATAATAATATATTATATTATCGTGTAAATTATCATATAACACGTTATAAAGTTTTGAATATTTTATATATAATGATATTCAGTCAAGTATATAATTATGTAAGATTTTATATAGAAGTGTAAATAATGGTGCAATATCTTGCATCGAAATGTATATAATTACACTCGTAAACTTCTGTATGTAGATTCCAACGTGAGTATAACACCTATACATGTAAGACGTTGTTAAATGTTCACGTACAACTCCTTCTCACCTTTAATTGACATCAGTTGTTATCATTATATGACACTTTATATATTTGTCAATACTTGTTTGTGTACTCTGGCTAATTTATTGATTGATTGATTTGTGAATGATTTTTTTTTATTCTTTATGTTTTAACATGAATGTATACTTCTACACAAACACCCATGTACATTCACGTATCTATTGATGTATACAAGGTAGATGTTCTAACTGTTGATCATCATATTTAGAAACATTATATATCAATACTCTTTCTTTTTGGTTTTTAACGTTACCACTCATGTTAGACAAATAGGTGTGTTTACAAGTATTAGCGCTGTATGCTAGGTGGGATTTTAGATATCATTGGTGTTTCTCATATATCTGTAACCTGCGTAAACAGAACACTACTTAATGGAGGCAAATTACTTGATACAGCATACATATGATCCCCATTAGACGGGAATGTTGCGTTTTGTTAACCCGCAAATAGATGATACCCAGAGAGGAAACCGATAAATTAACTTTTATGAGGAAGAGGGGGCTTCATAATGTTTGCTGCAGAGGGTCAATCTTGCTCCAGAATCATGAAGTTGCTTAACGCTAAGAACGTTTTAAATCACAAAATTAATGGATATGTTTCCTTAAAGGTTAACTAAAGTCGTTAAGTATTCAATATTTTTTTATTAATAAATACTTTTGGAGTAGATGTATTGGACGAATTGCCGAAAATCTTAAATCTTGATAATCTGGGAGGACATCTGACACTCAAGAAAAGTTTACTTAAGAACTTTCTTAGAGTTGACTTTCTTATACCTCGGTCAGACGGTATTCGTTCTCGTTGTTGTCTTGACAACGAGGCAGTGTTAATTTTGTTTTGTTTCCACATATAGTATCGTCCTGATTATTGAATGGTAGAGGATAAAAGGTTATATGTGGTTGAAAATGTTCAGCATTACTCGATATCGCTTGTAATTCACACTAAATATCATGTTGAAGTTATTTTTAATACGGCTGGCCTATAAATAACGTCATTGTAGTTACACTTTTTAACATAACGCCTTAATTGATGTGTCGAAATATTGCAACATCTAATGTTAACATTTCTTTTTGAAAGGTAGCGGAATTAAAGTGTTGTGGACAGTTTATCCTATAACTACTGCTACTTAACCGTTGTTATTCTAGGAAATCACTAACTCTGTCACTAAGAGTATCTGTCTCCGACCGTGTTGATATCATTCAGACCAAATTCAAAAATAAACATCTTGTAAATCTTTTGTCGTTTCTAAATTAAGGTTTGTTTAAATATGCAAAAAAATTGCTTTCAATAATACCCTTTATATTGTATTTTGAAACTAACTATATGAAACGATCGTGTTTGACGTTGCTCTAGTTGAAACGTTCGTTTTTTGACGTCGCTCTAGCTGAAACGTTCGTTTATTGGTGTTACTCAAGCTGAAACGTTCGTTTTTTGGCGTTGCTCTAGCTGAAATGTTCGTTTATTGGCGTTGCTCTAGATGAAATATTCGTTTATTGGCGTTGCTTTAGCTGAAACGTTCGTTTTCGACGTTGCTCTAGATGAAACGTTCGTTTTTGACGTTGCTCTAGCTGAAATGTTTGTTTATTGGCGTTGCTCTAGATGAAATATTCGTTTTTTGACATTGCTCTAGATGAAACGTTCGTTTTTGACGTTGCTCTAGCTGAAATGTTCGTTTTTTGACATTGCTCTAGATGAAACGTTCATTTTTTGACATTGCTCTAGATGAAACGTTCGTTTTTGACGTTGCTCTAGATGAAACGTTCGTTTTTGACGTTGCTCTAGCTGAAACGTTCATTTTTTGAAATTGCTCTAGATGAAACGTTCGTTTTTGACGTTGCTCAAGCTGAAACGTTCGTTTTTTGACGTCGCTCTAGCTGAACGTTCGTTTTTGACGTTGGTCTAGCTGGGTTTTTTTGTGACGGATTTCTGTGCTCTGTTCAAAATATTTCATTTTCATGACCTTATAAATATATTAACTTCGCTTTTTTATGTCATTCATGAGCCTTAAAATTGTCGAACGGTTCATTTTGTTTATATACAAAGCGATGTTATTAAATATTTCATTCAATTTACACACATGATTACGGAATTATACACGAAAGCTTTTTAATGTTTGATATCAAGTTACAAGTTATTTCTTTTTAGTTATTAATGTTTTAAATATCATGAACTGGTCTTATTAGAAAAGTTCTAATAATGGTCATTATTTTATTTTTTTTGAACAACGAACTAATCTGTTCGTTTCGCTATGAATGTACTTGACCAATTGATAATATCAGAACGGTACAATCCTACTTAGCTGGCTTGTATTGCATGCACGTGATCTATTTATTAGATAGATATGTTTCGATATAGCTGTATTTTATGCGTATTGGTTATTAGTAATTATCTCTATGATAATGATGATTAGATCTAGAAATGAAAGACCTATTGGAAGATTTTGTTTGAAGATGCAAAAAGCCAGCTGAAGTAAACTTTCCACTGCACCAATCATCCTCGATATCCAGGGCTTACGCTCATTTTCGCTCGCTGCACCCCTGGAATATGTCATAGCAAAATTGAAGGCTCGGTGTGCGCCACCTTGTTGGTGAGACAAGAAGGCAAGTTTGATCCTTTGATATACATCACAAGAATCTCGCAGTCACGTAACGGTAAAATATGACAGGCTTTGAAGTCGGGCGTATCTCCTTTGTAATCTTCAAAGAACAGGTATCAGTCTAGCGATTGGTCAGTTTTTCTTACCTGAGACCAATCAAACAGCTATCTTCGTGCCTTCAATTTTGCTTAGATATATTCCAGGGGTGTAGAGAGCGAAAGTGAGCGTAACCCATAGATATCGAGGATGTGCAACATACGGCCGTTTGACCGTGTAAGCAATATCAGTGGTACTTAGAGTCAAAAGAACGAACAATCCATGTATTAAGGAATCTGAAACTTGTGTAGAAAACAGCTAAAATAGAAAATTCCCTATAAATGTTTAAAATATCATTAATGACTTAAGGATGTACACCTGTAAGAAGTCAAAAGATTCCTGTATTAAACTTTTTTTCTGATATTGATTTTTGGAAAAAGGAGATAATGGCATAGGAGAAAATGAAAAAAAAACTATATGTCGGTGTGTTCGTTTTTGTGCTATGATCGGTCAAAGATACCAATTTAACACAATATGTGATTTTAGGTGAATTTTCGGGTTTTGACCATTTGCAGAACAAATTCATACAATTTCTTCCAAGTGTGCTATCAGATATGTATGAATGTTTGTAGAATTGATAAAAATATCATCTTCTTTGAAACTATGGAAGTAAAATGTCTTAAACCTATTCATTTTACTCAAAAATGCGATTTTAGTTACCCCTACCCCTTATTTTTTAATGAAAAAATTCACATTTTTCACCATTTTTTGCCGATTAAACGCTTGATATAAATAATTCCTGTAATAAACTTTTTTTTAGTATTCAATGAATCAAAAGAAAATGTGTTTCTCTTTCTAATACAGCCACAAAAATGGGGGGTCGGTGTGCTTCTTTTTTTGTCCCATTATTATTTGTGTTATTTTTCACCTTTTTCGGGGTCAAAAATCAAAAGTGCTTCAATTACCCTATTATGTAAAAAAAAATGTCAATAATATATAACTTTCCTTTTTTTGCATATTATTTTAATCATATTGAACATTATAAAGTTGTACAGCAAAATTTAACCTGATACAATTAAAAATGGTGACACAATGACAATTTAAGTGATCAATCTAGTGTCAAAAAAGGAGAATTTTGGCCCTTTGTGAAGCGCAAGAAATTCACATAAAAACACTTTTTCAAAATGGCCGCCAAATTGGTCATTTTTTTTAAATTCTTGTAAAAAATGTTCTACACACAACAGACATCTAGTTTTTTTTACATGTTTTTCAGATGTGTGTTTGCTATTATACCTATCATAATTTGTTAAATATTACAAAAACCCGTTACACCAGATCAAAACGAGA